TTCCCTACAAAGTCAATGACACAATTATATACGTTTTGATTCTAATTCCATCATATTTATTATATGTATACACACACATATATATATATATATACGTGTTTCTAACAGAGCGTTTAACTAATCTCGTATGCATTATGTGCTTAATATCATCATGTGGGGGTTTTTAATATAACCAAACGTGTCTAATTCCCTAGGAAATTGCAAGGATTCCCTTATTTTAAAATTTGATTAATTATGAGGTATTAGAATAAATATTGGATAAGAAAAAGGGCATTGGGGCATTTAATGCGTCTATTTGGTCATGTTTAGGCCAAAGTATAGTCATAAATTTTCGAGTGAGATATTTAATGGAATATAAAATGCAAATCCGCCCAACGTGAGGTTAATTAAAGTAAATAATAAATATGCGAGTTTTTTAAACGAAAACATAATGGGGCACATTCAAAGTGTCCGCTTGCACATGCTGGCGCCTTTTTATATCTAAATCATTACATAAATCGGAATTTTTGGAACAATATGTTTTGGTAAAAATTCCGCAACATACATTTAATTCATCGTCAGACCACGCATAAATATCCATTAGACATCGACACCGATTATTATTTTCGTGTTGAATTTTCCTTTTACACACCACATAATTACGTTTCCTACTAAAAATCAAAATGCATGCTTTTATAATAATCACGATAGTTATCGTGTCGAAAACAATACAATTATTGCACTGCAAACACGAAAACGCATACATTGAATTGATGGTAAACCGAACTTGATCCATATATATATATTTATCAAAATCGCTTTCACACGCGCGCACACACACACGTGTGTGTGTGTATACAGCGACCCCGATTCCTGTCATGACAAGGTATGCATGCATGCATGCATGCATTCATGCATGTATGTCGCTGTGACTTGTGAGCGACCGATTGACGTAAAATTTGACAAATTAAAGGCAAACAGCAACGTATAACCAAATCAGTCTCTTATATGGACAGGCGGAACCTCATGACCAATTACCACCCGAAAATTATACTCCATCCGTTTAATTTTATATATCATTTTAGACTTCTTTTATTTTCAAAATAGATGACGTTAAATAACTTCCTTTCACACAAATACCTTTAGGGCTCTATTATCAGTCCTTTCATTTTCACCCGAAAAATAGCAGATAGGGATCCTCCGTTATAAAAATAATAATAATAATAATAATAACATTCTTTTTTTGTGTGGATGACTTTGATTATTGTCACCAAAATATAACCACACAAAAAAGGTGAAAGATTTTTTATCCAAGGATTTATATATAGGATACATCGATATTCAATAGGAAAATCAAACGGTATAAAATACACTGGTTAGCTAAACCGGTGAATTGGGGATACAAAATGTCTATTATATTCCGAATTCGAACTTTAAGAGGAGGAGAGTATATGATTTACTTTCAGTTTCGGGATTAATCTGAATTTCGACGCATGAGACTCGGTTATCCAAAAAATTTAAAGAAAATACTCGTAAGTATATAGATGTAGAAATTAATGTTTTATATACACTGTTAAGCAGAATAAGAGACATGCGTCTGAAACGACGACGACGAGAGGATTGGTGTAATTAGAGAGGGGACCAAATTATTTAATTAATGTTAAATAAAAAGATTGAATCAATAGGATATGAAATTAAGGGAGGGTTGGGTGGGACATGTCGGCCATGTGAGTGCATGTGGTCTGTCTTGCTCGCCGTGGCCCCACATATCTCTCCTTTTCTTTGGACCGAATAAATGGTTCCCACTTTTCTTCGTCGTCCCATTCTTCTCTCTCTCTCTCTCTCTCTCTCTCTCTCTCTCTCTCTCTCTCTCTCTCTCTCTCCCTCCTAGGGTTTAAGTTGAGTGAGATTGACAAAAGCTTTTTTGGATAATCGTGCAAGGTATTTTTTAAATTAACGTGTTATTTTTTATGCAGTTCCAAATCTTATAATCGACGTGCGCATATATATAGTCGATTAATATAATTTCCTCCACATGCTTCTCCTCTCGAATCTAAAATTTTTCAAATTCTACGGCGCATTTTATTTTGTGGATCGATGTATATATGCACAACAACGATAATTTGGTAAAAACAAATATACAGGAATATCTGTTCACATGCATTATCCAAACAAACACACAATCAAGCCAAGGGGAAACCTCTGAAATAGAAATATATTATAGTTTCACATGTGTTTGTATATTTTTCTGGTGTTTTAATCTCACGTCAGTTGATCATCATATATATAACTTTTCTTCTTTTTTTTTGTGTGTATTTTCTTGAACAGGATATGGACAGGTACAACATGGTTAAGCAACAGTTCCTGAAGAACTGGATGCGTGGTCTCGTGGCATGCAATCCTTCTTTAAGAGTAATGAGCATAAAGGAGAGGAAACTCACCATCAAGCTATCCGCAGACATAGCCATGGCGGCTACGAGAAGCGGCGCCACCATATGGAGTCGTGCCCTTCTCTCTCGAGCCACCGTAAATACGTCCCAGAGGCTTCTCGTTCGTCGAATCCTCCGCAAATATCGATACTACCCCAAGAACGTGATCAGACGACCGAGCAAGAACGGATCAAGATTGAGCAAACGCGTCAGAAAAGGAAGAAAAATGAGCAAGATACGTTTTCTTGGGCAAGAGAACGCGTTGGAGAAACGGACAGAGATGCTAAAGAACCTCGTACCGGGTGGACACTTGATGGACGGGAAGTGTTTGATCGAGGAAACACTTGATTATGTTGTGCATCTTCAAGCACAAGTGGACGCGATGAGAACCATCACTGCCGATTTCATCTCTTGCGGTCACGTGAACAAATGAGTTATATAACTTGCATGCATTTGTTGTCTTTCGATAAAATTAGATAAATCGGTGTAAAGGAGACACGTACGTACCTTATGATATAAGAGTGTTGATTTTATTAAAATACGGACTCACGTGGATCAGTTGAATGCGTGTAATAGATGCGTATCGGGTTGTGTCTTTTGCCCTTGGCTTCTTATCTGTTTTCGTCACTCGTGGAATTTACCTCTTCGGTTTATAAGATATATATACACACACACACACATATCCAAGTACATATATATGTATTGTTTTCACATAGAACGGAAAAGATGAATGGTGTGATTACACGTCTACTGAATATGAGCATTGATTTTATTGGGAATCATATGGATAGTTTTTGTATCTTGGATATTTAAAATTTTTCCCATTTGATTTGTGTTTATTTATTCTTTTTATCATGATATGAATAATGAATTTTAATGAAAGAAAATTAAAAACATCAATAATATACAACACATGAAAATATTCTGCGAATTTTGACAAATTTTAATTGTTGCCCTAAATCCGTTATAAGTCTAAACGCAAACACTGGTTGGTATTTTTTTTTTATGTTACAAAAACACTTGGTGAGTAAACTACTGCGACGTCAAATCTTTACTTGTCCGAGGGCGAGATATTTGTGTATGAATATTATATATTTTTTTAATGTGTATATATGTAGTGATAAAGGAAAAAAATTAAAATTAAAATTAAAGTTAACTTAGCTCACATGCGTGGGAGGAAAAGTCAATTAAAAATCAAATCCGAAAAGAAGAAAGAATCGAATTCCGTGAATGCAATTCAATGGACGATCGCCATATTAAGTAATTGCAGTTGAATGAGATTTGTACGTTTCACTCTTTTTTAAGGATTTTACTTGCAGAAGCACTCTATCCAAAAGTTTGTGCATGCAGTAGATACGTTTTGTCAGTACGGTGACGTCATAACACTCGTCATTCCGCACACACTGACACGCGCTCACTGTCCGTGGGATACGGCGCGTGCATCTCACCGTGCGGAAGTTTATTTAAGGACCCGATAGAATTAACCCAAAAGGACGAACGGTGAAAGCCCAAAATTCAAAAATACATTAAATACCGAAAATGCTGGAAATAGATAATAAAGCCCAATTAGATAACTGGGCCTATTTTTTAAGGAAAATAAAGCCCAATAAGATAATTGGGCCTATTTTTTTAAGGAAAATAAAGCCCATTTAGATAACTGGGCTCGTATGCCGAAGGCTCTGTTGATTACAGCACACCAAAAATTTGTTATATTTATTTATATTAATATCTTATCCTCTCTAAACCACGTCTCAGCCGAGCCGAGCCGAGCCGGTTATAAACCACTTGTGAAACGTTCCCTTTGAAAATCGACAATGTAAATTAACGCGCTCCCCCGCGCGTGAAGATGCACCTGAGATTTTGCTCAATTTCTAGATTAGCGCGCGTGGGGAAATGTTTTTGGGATATTTACCTTTTCTCCTCGCCTTTTTTTTCCCCGTTCAAAAGTAAAACGTTGTTATTATTTTTCTCATGCATTTAAATTATTGTTCTTTCTCCTCATCAGCTGCTGATTCAATGGACCAAGACCTCCTCCGTGTTAGAAAGTAGTATTAATGGCATTGATTATATTATAATTATCAATAAATTTACCATTGTTTTTTCATTATATATATCTATTTGGTATCTATTAGTTTTGAAAATGCTTTCTTGAATTAAAAAAAATGGAATATTTCCACCGATCTGTACAGCTATAGGGTATGATTTTAACACGTAAGAGAGAGAGAGAGAATCACATGAGGCAAATGATAACATCTTTAATTAGGTCATCTTTAAAAAGGAAGTTAATGTCTTTAATCAAACTCTGGATGATCAAATAGAAAGAAAGAAAGAGGAATTTATATATATATATATATATATATATATATATAATATTGTAGTTGTCATAAGCCTCCTTCCTTTAGAGAAAGTGAAAAGCCCCCACTGCATTGCACTCCACGCTTTCCCTATCATAACATGCCCTCGTCGTCTAGTTCTATCTTACACTACTCTCCTTCTAGCCTCTTAATTATTGATTGATTAAAGATACAAAACCAGACTTATAATATATATACATATATATATATATGTGAAATTATCTTCAATTTATGGTTTTGATTTAAAGATGGGCAACTAAAGGGCTTTAGTGTTATGTTTGTGTGGTTGTTATCTCTCCATGACCCCCTTGAAGGTGCATGTAATGCACCAACTCATTATCTTTCAAAAGTGTGTAGGTCCATTTACATATATATATATATAGATATTTCCTTTGTATGTCTCTTAATAGTGTGATCCAATTAATTGATTAGACTCTTTTTTATTTTTCCAATTCCAGTTCCGACATATCTCACCTGTTCAGTTCTCCCTTTTTGTTTGTCCCATCATCACTCCCCCCCTCCTTATAACGTTTGTGGTTGACGGTTGTATATCTTTGTCTCATAAATCTTATTTCTTTCATTCAGTGATGATGATGATGATGATGATGATGATGATGATGATGATGATGATGATGTGATGGTGATGATGATGTTAGCTTCCGTGATGAAACCCTAGCTTGATACATTGAATACAAATGTATATGTTGTACTTAAGAGTGTAAAGATTTAAACCCCCCCTCCCCATAATTTTTTTTTTCTTTTTACCTTTTGGTGGGTGCTTTTAACTAATGATAATCACTTGAAAATCCCACTCATTGCAATGATGCTATCGACAAAATTCTTAAACTATTAATTAAAGTAGTACCCACCCCCCTTTAAATAACGTAAATTAAATCAAATCAAAAAAAAAAAAAAAGACAGAATAATTAGAAAATAGAAATCTAAAATCACAATTTCTGCTGCCCATATAAATGAATATATCATAAGGCAGTGATGATATGAACAACAGCAATCCCAATCTCTCAAAAAGCCCATGGAATTCAACAACAACAAGCCATCGCCTTCAGAGGCACATCCAGACACCATGGATTTTCTGTCACGGGAATGGTGCAATTTCGCCGTCCAATCCCTTCAACCTAATCATCATCACCATCATCACCATCATCATGATCATCATCTCTATCATCATTCCATTGTCCCTCTCCAGAACTCAATCCCCAAATGTCAGAACGGCTCCAGCCCTGTTACTTGCGCCGTAAGTAACACTCATTTTTATCTGTAATGCTTCCCCGTTTTCTCTGATCATGTTGATGATGATCTCTGGAAAAAAAATGTGCAGAATACGGAGAAGAGCATGAAGATTGATGATTCCGGTTTCAAGCCCTCCATCCCTCCCTGGAAAACCAACGATGTAAAGGTAATAACACATGTATGTATGTATGTATGTATGTATGTATGTATGTATGTATGTATGTATGTATGTATGTATGTATGTATGTATGTATGTATGTATGTATGTATGTATGTATGTATGTATGTATGTATGTATGTATGTATGTATGTATGTATGTATGTATGTATGTATGTATGTATGTATGTATGTATGTATGTATGTATGTATGTATGTATGTATGTATGTATATATGTATGTATGTATGAATGAATGAATGATGTTGTAAATGATGTTAGCAGTCATGGATATGGATGCAACAAGCAATGCATCCGGAGTTGAATTACAACGGCTACTTCCGCAGAAAGTTTGTAAGTCATACAAGACGACGGCTAATGTTGTTTTTTTTTCTTTTCTGAATAATAACACTGTGGATTTTTTTTGAAGAAACTTCCATGGTCGATAAAGAAATGGTGGAAGGAGATAAAGGAGAAGAGAAAGGAAGAGAAGAGGCTGCAGAGGGCAGAAGTACAGGCAGCGGTTTCGGTGGCAGGACTGGCAGCCGCTTTGGCAGCGGTGGCTGCAGAGAATGCGAAGAACGGTTCAACCGCTGAGTCGAAGGAGGCGGTGGTTGCGTCAGCGGCTGCAGTCGTGGCCTCTCAGTGCGCTCAGGTGGCTGAGTCAATGGGAGCCAACAGGAACCATCTCTCCTCCTCCATCTCTTCCGCCATGGCCGGAACTTCTCTCACTGACTTACTCACCCTTACTGCCTCCGCCACCACATGTAAGACCTTTTTTTTCCATGACACTTGATTTTTGCCCTCATGTATACATATATACATGCATACATATATATGTTATATATGAAGTGTCGGTGTGAATATTTTGTTGAATGATAGCATTGAGAGGGGCGGAGACTCTGAAAGCAAGAACAGGGTGTAAGATGAACGGGACAGCTCCTGTCTTGCCAATTGAAGACTCTTCTGATTTCCCTTCTGAGTTCAACCACAATAACACTTCCCTTCTTGCCAAGGGCACCCATCTTTTCGTTGAAACTCCCGACGGTATATACACACACATATACATATATATATATGGTGTAGTTTCAGAATTTAGAATTGATGCAAAGTTATCTTTGTGTCACTTTTTCATCACATAGACTAAAGGGAACTATGGATTTTATGTGAACAGGGGATTTCAAGGTTAGGACAGTGTCTGTTGTCTTAAACAGTGAAGGGAAAGTATGGACTTTAATTTGCTATTTATTCATTTCATTAGCCTCACTAATTATGGATTTCAAGGTTTAATTAGTAATGTCTTTCGTTTCTTTCTTCGACATTTTTACAGGTCATCCTTGTACTGAAGAAGCCAAACCTTCTGAAAAGCAAGAAAGAGAGTACGTGGTCTCTTTCTCGCCTTCTCAGATAAAAAATATGCAACTTTTTTCATGATACCATGTGATAAAAACTTTCTGATTATCAACATTTTCTCATCTGCTTGCTCTCGACCCTGAGATTCGGTCCACGATATCCGGTTACCCAAATAACATATATATTTTTTTATAATTCGAAAATTTATCGAACTTTTGGTCCGATTACATCTCTAAAAAAATCAGAAAACCAAGTAAATGTCTCTTTCCAAACGTAGATTCAAACTTCAATTGACCAGTTTAGTCACCCAACTTTGGATTCGAATAACATATATATATAAACATAGATATAGAGTAAACCTAATACTATCAGAAAACTAAGTAACGAAAATATATTTCAATCAAAGCATATCTATAACGGAAGTATATCTATAATATATATCCCGATGAAATCTCAGATATATATCTAATAACGTTGATGTCTATTACAGGTGTTGTGACAAACGTCCACGTGGAATTATACAAAGATTCAGAGGGCGAGAATAACGCGGAAGGCAGTACTTGCTACCTCATAGTGCTGAGGACTAACAGGGGGGTGACGAAGCTAGACATGGGCGACGACTACGATCGTTACAAGACATGGGTCACCGCCATCAACCACATGCTCGCCCTCTCTACTCCCGCCGCCCTTACCAATTATACGATCTCCATCTGAGCGGCATGAACTGAGTCACGAATCACGATCGATCGAAACTGTCCTTCATTTGTGATTCCGTGCCCTTCATGTAATTTAAGTGTGACGTGTCATTTGATGTCTAGTATTTGCTCATCGTGAGAATTTTCCGCAAAACATTTGTCCGAAAAACAGTCATACATCGCTTTTTATTACTGCCTTAGTCCATCGTATAAATGGAAGAGTACTTAATAAATAACAAAAAACAAATGAAAAAAGTTGGTTTTAGTATAAATAATTAAAGTATAAAAATAAATTCAAATACAATGTTACGATGATTTACACCATTACTAACCCCAATATATAAATATTTTTTTAATTGAAATAAGGACTGAGACTAACATTTCACACCAAATAAGTTTTTACATTTTTTTAACAAAAAAAAATGTTTTTACATTTCAGGAGAAAAAAAGGAGTGACCGTATCGTATGCATGCATGAAGGTATGCAGTTAATGGGCCCCGAGGAGGTCCACTTGCTTTTTTGTATGACCACGTGTTTTACGACCATCTTTGGGCTGGGCTTTTTGGGCCCAACTCTACAGTGCATGGACTGTCTATAAATATAATCATTGGTCGGCTTGAGTTTTTGCGAGATAAGGAAACGAAGGACAATAGGAAATTTTTGTAACAAGTTTTTTTTGAAAAAAAATTTATAATTAATTTTTGTGACAAGTTCTTTTCGTTGAACCGAACAAAGGAGGGGACATTTCTTTTTTTTTTTTTTTTTGTTAATGACATTTCATTATTTTTTTTGTTAATGACATTTCATTATTAGTTTTGCTTTCATGTATAACTTAACATGATAACGTGAGTATTTAGTATTTACCCTCTACATATTATACGTCATGCTTATGCATCAACTTATTTTGCGTGGTAATAAAAAAAAAACTTATTTTGCATGGAGCTGAAGAGTGTTGAGAGCACATTAATTAATAGAAATCATCCATCTTAATTTGTAGTATACGCATAGAAGGTATTATCAAAATAAATTAAAAAAAGAAAATAGTTAAAGATGATTTAAATAATCATAACATGTTACAAATGAAGCTCAGGAGGAATAGACAAAGAAAAAGAATACAATGACAAATAAATACAGAAAAAAAACTAATAATGAAATTTAAATAAAGATAAAAAATATAAGGATGATGCAAAATTTCAAAAGCCTTGCAAGATCAAGAAAAATAAAAAATCCTAAAATAATAATAAGAATAAAAAATATTAGAAAATAAATTTGTAGTGTAATTTTTTATTTTTATTTAAATAAATAAAAAAGCTCAGTTAGGACAACACCAGCACTATTGCACACCAAAATCTTCACCCGCCTTCAAAATCTCTGCGCTCCGGACCAAACTTGACGTACAACAAGCAGAAACATGGTCATGATGATGATGACGATGATGATGATCATCGTCATCGTGAAGAAATAGAAGAAGCGGTGCAAAAGACATGGAAAGGAAGAAGATAATGTTTTGGGTATACTGTTTCAGAAGGTTATATATGTGAATGGGAATCGAAGCAGATGGATGTTGAAGAAAGAGGCGGTGTTGTGTTTTATATATATATAGGAAAGACAAGGTATACGAGGGGAGCTCTAAATGATATAATTTGGGAAACATATAATAATGTTTTATTCCATGTGTGCTAGCCTTTATTTACCTATTTAATTTTTTTTATAAGGAGACGTGGTAAATGTGCGCGCGTTGGGACAGCAATATCTTTTACCGTCTGAGATACGGAATTTTGGAGGAAGAAGAAGCATGCATGCATGCATGCATGCATGGGGACTCCAATGACTTCTCTCTTTCCTCCTTTACGCCCTTTTGCTTTTCTGAGTCTCTTTCCC